AGAGAGAGAGAGAGAGAGAGAGAGAGGGGAGTGGGTATTGAGTGAAAAATTAGGGTTGGAGGTTTTATATAGCACCTGATTTTTGAAGATTGAAATTTGATCCTTGATTTTTGAATTCCAAACTTTAAGCACCTGAGTTTTTATAATATCCCTATTCCTAACATGGTATCAGAGATAGGCCAAATTATGTAATGTTGGGTGCTACCCAATGTCGATTTGTTCACAGTTATTTGGCATGATCCACGCTGTGCGTGAGGGGGCGTATTAGAATTCCATAATACTTGGAAAAATATAAATGATCCACTTAATAAGGTGAGGACAATTCTCCCCTAATAAGCCGATTTTATTAGGTGGAGTTAGGCTCAATATTCCTAACATGGTATCAGAGATATGCCCAATTATACAATGTTGGGTGTTACCCAATATCGATTTGTTCACAGTTGTTTGGCTGTGCGTGAGGGGGCGTATTAGAATCCCACATTGTTTGGGAAAATATAAATGATCCACTTAATAAGGTGAGGGCAATCCTCCCCTAATAAGCCGGTTTTATTAGGTGGAGTTAGGCCCAATATTCCTAACAGTTTTGATTATCTACNTATGTGGAGTTAGGCTCAATATTCTTAACATGGTATCAGAGTTAGGCCCAATTATGCAATATTGGGTGCTACCCAATATCGATTTTTTCACAGTTGTTTAGCACAGTCCACGCTGTGCGTGAGAGGCGTATTAGAATCCCACATTGTTTGGGAACATATAAATGATCCACTTAATAAGGTGAGGGCAATCCTCCCCTAATAAGCCGATTTTATTAGGTGGAATTAGGCTCAATATTCCTAACATGGACTAACTGAAAATATCATTAGGTTTTTTCTAGAGAAAATGAGTTCGAAGAGACGGCATCAAGCTTCGTTCGTGAAATCACGACAAGCTTCTTTCACAGATTTAACGAATATTCCTATGGAATTTGGGGAGTCATGAGCTCTTCTAACACAAGCTAACGAGAATGGGGTCTTGGGGAAATTTAGGATGTAAATTTTCGTGCAAGGATAGGGTTTTTCTTTTTGTCATTTTTCTTAAAATGCCCATTGGAATAAGGTAATTATATTATCACCACAAAATTTAATTACTACACCACATTATGAACATGGTTTGAGCCTCATTTTTTTCTTCTTAAAATGCATTTTATAATAGTAAATTGATGGAGAATATATGGTTGAAAAATAAAGAAAATTTTTGGGTTTGCTTGTAATATTATTTTATTAAAAAATGTATGGTTGAAAAGAAGAGAGAAAAAAAATGTATTTTGAAAATAATGAAAATCAAACAAGGGCTATATTAACACCACAATTAAAATATATTTTTAATAAATACACCACAATAAATTAACAACAGATGCTTTCACATTAACAAGCCTCAGCCTGAAACATTTCCTCAAAGATGAGGCACAACCCAATCCGAGGTTCTTTCAGGTTCGTCCGAAGCTCGTGACATTGACGCTGCCTCACACCAGATTCGAAGATCTTTTTTGAATTGATTGATGTGACGTCTGCAGTAAAGTGGCTATAATTTTAATCATTGTCAACCTATTAATAGAACGGCTGACCTTTAGTCAAAACATTAAATGTAATGGGTGGACAGTGATTTGAAGTTTCGGCTTAGGGGATGTGGCCACGTGGACTTGATCCAATGATCACCATGTCGACTAGAACGATATGAATAGCCACTCTCTGTATAGAAAAGGGGGACGAGGGGTTGATGTAAAGAATATACAAACACATACTTACACAAACACTTGAAACCTTACTGGAAAAGAGGGAACTCATCTATTCATCATATCCATC